TACTAGGAGCTCCATTTTAGAGATGAAGAAACTGAGGCTGATGCACCAGCCAGCAAGTGGTGGGCCCAGGACTCCAACCCAGACTGGGCAGACTCCACTGAGTCTCCCTCAGCACGCCGTGGCCCACAGGGACAGACCGGCCGAGCACCCCTCCTCCAGGGCCTCGGGATTTTCCAAGGCTCATTCCGTCCGGGTGCCCTGAAGTGCCCATCACAGGGAGCCTCCCCTCAGTAGCTTCCCCTGGTCATCACCAGCCCTGCGGGGTGGGCTGCTGCCTGGGACATCGCTCCCTCACTCCCCATCTGTCTGGTTCTGGGAAAGTCAGAAAAACGCAGAGAATGAAAGGACCGACGCTGAGCGCTGGGGGAGGCGGCGGGCACCCAGGGCACCCGGGGCACCTGGGCCTGACTGGGCTCCTCTGTCTACACGGACCTGCCTTTTCCTTTTGTCTGTTTTCTGATAGTTAATATAACAAACCATCGGCGGCTCCTCGGCCCACAGAGAGTGTAACAACTGTATCTCCCACAAACCACCGAAGCCTTAAATTGCAGCCGGGAAGGTGACGGTGAGCGATTAGAATTTTTAAAATCATATCCAAATGTTTCCCCACCTTGAAAATAACACACTTTATTTTTTCTTTCCCAAATTCTTCCTGCTACAACCTGAAACCATTAAGCCTGGGAGGGGACCAATGGACCTGGATTTCATCCAAAGTCAGGAAATACCCAAATGGCCATTGGCAGAAATTGTAGAAGGGGTGGGGTGGGGAGATGGACTTGGAATCAAACAGTCTTTTTTCTCCAGCCTTGAAAGGTGGAACCAAGGAACAAGGGGAAAAAATCATCAGTGACAACAGCTAATAAATTTTGAATACTTATCACAAGAAACATTAATTTGCTAAATTGGCCCTGTAGTTAGATTATAAAAATGAGTCAAACTCAGGAGCACGGGAGGCAGCAGGGACGCGCTCTGCATGCCACGTGGAGGGCCACCACCTCCTCCCCGGGCACGGTCTCCAGGCCCAGAGCCCGCCCTCCACCCCCAACATGGGCTGAGCACAGCACCGGCCTCATCTGGGAGCCTCAGTGCCCCTGGGGCTGTTTCGTGACCCCCCTCAGCACCCTCACCCCGTCCGGTGCCGCCCTAACTGGATGCAGAGACCCGTCAATACCTGGCAGGGACGTTCCCCCAGCGTCCCGCTGTGCAGTGGTGAGGTGACTCAGCTTCCAAATCACACAAGTGCCAAGGGGTGGAGTCAGGTGGGAGCCTGGGAGGGGGATCCACGCACAGCAGGGTCGGGCGCCTGAGGACAGAGCCTGGGTCCCTCAAGGACCAGGCCAGTGAGCGCTGCCCTGAGCTTCCTCCCCAGCCCCACCGGGCTGTGCCCACCTCCCACCTGGACCTGGACGGTCTGTGGGCTGGCCCTGGGCCCTCTGGCCCGCGGCTCCTGCTCACACTGCTCTTGCCTCCGGGCCACACGATTCCTAGGCTTTGCCTTGCTGGTGTCAGGGCTGGAAGGTAACAGGGAGGCGGCGTGGCACGGGGAGCCTCGCATTGGATCGTGTCCCAGACACAGCACTCTCTGGCCTCCAGTGTCACCCGCTGCAGGTTACTTAGGGAGCCTCCATTTTCTCGGGTGTGAAAGGGGGAGAAGAGTTGGCGGTCAGCACTTCGATTCTGAGTGCAGATCTTGCTGGGGCTCAAATTCTAGCTCTGCTACTTCCTGGGTGACCTTAAGCAAGTTTCTTAACCTCTCTGTGCCGACAGTCCCCATCGATAAAACTCTGATGCCAGCATCTAACTTGCAGGGTTGCTGTGAGGATGAAATGAGAGCACCCAGCCTGCATCGAGTCAGTGCTGTCTTGGTGCCCACGGTTCAGTCGTAGACGCCGGTGGATGGGAAGATTAAAGACCCTGATACAGGCCCTGGCACTCAGCAGGCACACAGGACACGTTATGAAACAGGAAGGAGGCGCCCATTCGGCCTTTCAGCACCGACCTTCACTCCCCTGGCCCAAAATCCTGAGCAAACAGGTGGATGAAAAAGTACCAAGTCAAAGGCCCAGGGGGAGCTAATAATTGCCTTAATTGTACCACGTGAATGAGAAAAGCCAGCTCCTTCCCCAGGAAAGAACCTTGGAGAACCAGACCCCCGCCCTGCCCCCCCAACACAGGAGTCCTGTATCACAGACCAGTGAACTTGCTAGGTTCCCAGTGGCCCAGGGTGGGCTGGGGGCGGAATACAAGAATAAACAGCCTGCTGGTCAGCACTGCTGTGAGCAAACCCCCGGACAGCCCTGCCGGGTAAGGGCTGGGACGAAGCCGCAGGCGATTCAATGGCTCTCAGGGAGGCAGCAGCGCCTAAGAACATGTGAACGGCATTAAGTCGCAAAATCCTTTCCTTCCCTCCCTCCCTCCCATGCCCAGCACGTCTGGGGCCTCACACAGGAGCCCTGCCTCCCTCCGCTGGGCCTCCTCCCGGGTCCAGACGCCCAGGTCCCTGGCTTTCTGGCTGCAACCCAAGGTCAGGGGTAGGGGCGCGGGTTCCAGGCCAGACAGCCCGTTCTCAACTGGCTTTGCCTCTTTCTAGCTGCGGCTCTACACGCCCTAACCGCCTGCCTCGCCCGTGTCCCGCTTGGTTTGCGAGGATGAACTGGCACTTACCGCGGGCTCCGGCGGAGTCAGTGATGGGACGGACGCGGGAGTTTGGCACTGGGCTGGGCAGGCCCACATTCCTTCCGGCCTTCACTGCTCGGTCACCTAAAAGGCCAGCCGCCCACCTGATGCCACCAGGAGCCCCTCTCTAGGGGGTGGGGGGTGGAAGGAGAAACTTGACTCAGGTAAACACTTTGCAAACAGGAAACGCGGCCTCGGAGGGAAACTTAGGGTGCCCTCCTCTGAGAACCAGAATTGCCTGCTTGGTTTTGGTCCAACTAGCACTGTCCTGATTGGTCAGAATCATGCATCCTGATTGGTCACAATGGAGCCGCTCTGATTGGTCGGTAAATGAGATGTAGCTGTGCCCCTCTGATTGGCGGGGGCAGGGGGGCAAGTCTCAGCCTATTGGTCAAATATGATTCCAGGGCCCCCTTGATAAGGTTCAGGCCCAGTGGGCAGGGATGCGGTGCAGACAACGGGCCTCTGTAAACGGGGGCTGTTCACCTCTGATTGTGAACTTGGGCTCTGTTACCCTAAAGCAGTGGTTCTCAACCTCCTGGCCCTTTAAATACAGTTCCTCATGTTGTGACCCAACCATAACATTATTTTCGTTGCTACTTCGTAACTGTCATGTTGCTACTGTTATGCATCGTCATGTAAATATCTGATATGCAGGATGGTCTTAGGCGACCCCTGTGAAAGGGTCGTTCGACCGCCGAAGGGGTCGCGACCCACAGGTTGAGAACCACTGCCCTAAAGAGACCTTTGGGCAGGTGTATTCCTTCTTGTGGTCAACACTTGCCATTTCCTGGGCAGGTCACCTTAGTCCAAGCCTCTCTGATGCTGGCCCTTCTCTGCCTGGACCCGAGGGTGTGGTACCCACCGGAGACACGCTGCCGACACCTTCACAGCCTTCCCATCACCTGTTCCCTCCTCCGCCCACTCACTGTGGTGGAGTTTTTGAGGCCCAGACCTGTGTCCTTGGTAAGTTGTGTTCCTAGTTCGCAGCCCCGTGCCTGCTTGGCTGCTGGAGGTATCAGTTAGTCTTTGCTGCATCGCTGAGTGAATGAACACGCAGTAGGCGCTGTGACAGGACCAGGAGAGGGAGGGCAGCTGAGCACAATGCAGCTGCACCGATAGGCAGCACTGGGTGCGAACCTCGCTCTGCTCACAGGCGAGCAAGTAATACATCCCTGTCTGGGCCGCCATTTGTCATGGGACTCTCCTAGAAGTCACCATGGACAACGGGAGGGAAAATATTGTGTTCCTACTATGTGCACAGCCCACCTGATGCGTGGACAAGATCACTGTTCTGGAATATTGCTCTGCCCTTCACACCCTGGGTCTACCAAGTGGCCAACTCCCCATGGCTTACTGAGTAAATCCATACCCATCATCTCTCATCTTGTTCTAGGTTCTGGCTTCTGGTTGATCTTTGTGCCTTTCCCCTTAGGGCTGTCCACCAGCCAACAGAACGCTTATGGCTCACTCTGCCCATACTATGCCGTCCCCAGGGGTCAGCTCCACTCTTACTTACTTAGGAATTCCCTTCCCCTCCCCTAACCCCAATCCTTGCAAGTGCAAAGCCTATCTCATCTACAAACCCTGATCACAGGCCACCTCCTCCAGGAAGCTCTCCACTCATCCCACTTGGGAAGAGTCCCTCCTTCCCCTGAAGGCCTGACGCACTTCCCTTCCTGGCTTAGGGCAAGCTGTCACTTTCCTCCCTGTATTAGAGCAGCCTTCAGGCTCTGCTGGGGTTGGGCGAGAGGACAGCACCAGTGAAGGCCAAGTGTGTGGGGCTGTGGACTCCGCCCTCTTCAACCACACCAGCCACCACTGCGTCTGTCTGCCCATCTGCTGATGCACCTGCACGAGACTGCCTTTCAAGAAAGGGTCCTTAGAGGGAGCGAATCTTGACCTTGGTGAGTGGGACGGTGGGTGATGTCAGGCGACCCAGGGCTGGGCAGGGTGCAATGGGCCTCGCCTAGATGTCAGCAGTGCTGTGCACAGAGCAGGGGCTCCAGAAGGTGTAGGCCTTACCCTCGAGCACCTGGACTGGCACCTGAGTCACACGACAGTGTCGGGAAGGCCTGATCGTGGGCACAAAGTGTACAAAGCGAACGGACAGGTGCTGCCACGTCTGGGCCGGCGGCAAGTCAAACGCTGGCACAGACGACAGGTAAGGTCACCGACCCCCAACACTGGGCCCCGAAGCAAATCTAAAGGCTTCAGAGGAGAAAGCGCATTAGGGCTGCATTCTAGGGGCCCTGGGCTGCAGATGGAGGGGGTCGAGGGGGGATCTTGATTCAGGAGGGGGACGCAAACCATCCAACACATACTCAGGCAGAGACTGATTTTATTCCATCCACCTGCCTCCTTAGGAGGTGAAGAGTAAAAAGTGCATTTTTTTTAAAAAGCGAAAGAATGCCAAGCCTGTAAGCTGAGGCCCCACCTGGGACGGCGGAGGAAGAGTCATGGATTGTGGTTACTCCCGTGATAAGCGCCGGGGGGGGGGGGGGGGGGGGGGGCGGACTTTGATCCTGGGGGCTCTGTGATAAGTCTGCCCCTCCTCTTCCCCGCAGGCCCCCGGCTCTGTGGTGCCGGCTCTCGCCAGGCTGCACACAGTCCCAAATGCAGATTCAGCACCTCAGTGGCGTCAGGAGTCGGGGCTGGGATTCGGGAAGATGCTGATGGGGACTGGGGGGGTCTCTGAAAGGAAGGGGGCGATGCGGTGTGAGCCCTGTCTGAAGAATTGATGCAGAAGTCTTTTCAGAAGCAGATCATTCAGGGTAAGGGGGGGCGGTTGTGCTGGGGGGGGCCCTATTGCTGCGGATGCCAATCACCTTGCCCACCCAAAGCAGGACAAGGAGCCCCCATGGCGGCCGGCGGATGGGAGGAGCACAGAGAAGAGCAGCAAGGACAGCACCGGTCGGCAGCCGCCCTCCTCGTCCCCTGGCGCCCTGCAGGGCCTGGCAGCCCGGCCCTGGCGCTGGGCGTCCTCAGAGCTCCTGGGCCAGCTGCCCCCCCGCCGGCTCCTCCGCGGGCTGCATGGCCTCCTGCACGTAGACGATGAACTCCGAGGGCTCCCCGCCCTGCGTGTACACGGTCACCGTCTCGATGCCCTCCACGTCGTCCGAGGACACGACCAGGTGGTGCTGCTCGGCCAGCTCCACGGACGCCTGCTGCAGCGTCTCCTGGATCATGACCGTGTGGTTGGAGCTGGGCTCCTCGTCGGTGACCTGTGGGAGGCAAGAGAGGGCACGTCACGCAGGGCCTGCCTCTGGGTCCGGCCATGACAACAGTCACCCACGGCTTACGGAGCACCTGGGACGCCCCAGAGCGCGTGCCCACCGCACGGAGGCCTCTCCACGGGCTGCACTCGCTCCCGGGTACAGGTGCGGCGTGAATAACGGTCCACTGGCTGCCAGAGGCCATGGTGCCCAGTGGGACACCGTCTGCTGGGGAAGACACAGCCACAGAAAGAGCCCTGGGTGCAGGGCTGGGCCGCTCCCACCAGGGGGCGCAGTGCAGGCTGGGCAGGGTCGGCCAAGGCAGAGAGAGGGCAGGTGCGAAGGTGGCAGTGACTCCAGGGGAGAGGGGAGAGGTGGGCTTGCTCCCACAAGCTCCTGTTCATGGCACCTCCTTCCCAGCCAGCAGCGGGGGCCTCCCCTCCCTGCCCACCCGGGTGACACGCCATGACTCCACGCTATCTCTGGAGACCCCAACTGGCTCAGACTATCACTATACCATGACTATACCGTGCCCTGTGGGCAGGAGGGGCTGGCAGCTGGCAGGGGCCACGGTCCCTCAGAGAGGAGTTGGAAAGGCGCCTGGGGTGGGCTCCACACAGAGGGGAGGACTGGGAGGAACGCCGAGTCGCTGACAGAATTCACCAGGAGCCAGAGAGCTGCTCCGAGTGGAATTATTAGTGCATCTCGTCTGATGTGTTTTTCTGGAGTGAATTGAGACCTTTTTCTTATTCCTTCTTTTACTGCTTGTTTCAATTTCATTTAAATGGGAAAATGTACTGTGAACTAAGACTTTAGAAATAAATATTGATTCATTTCACTCTGGGGGGGGGAGCACCTGACAGGGTGGGGGGTTCAGGGAGGGAACACAC